GTCCAGAGCTCCGGTGAAGGTGCCGGCAGGTTATCTGTGATCCCCTTCCCGGTTCCAAGGTTTGTCGGGAAGACGGTGCCCCACTGATGGAAGCGGGAGGCGGTACTGAGAACCTTCTTCCTCCGGGAGGGAAGCTCCTGGGTCTGTGGGAGCATCTGGGCAGCCAGCACTTGGGCGCGGAAGACCCGGGTGTCTGTCCCGAGATGCGCGTTCTTCTTTTGTCGTGGTAAAAACCACAGGACATCCGCCCCGCTGGACAGTGCCACTTGTCAGCTGTGCCCGGCGTTGTCAGCAGACCCTCGGACTTCTCCGTCTTGCGTGATGCAAAGTCCGTGTCTGTTGACAGCAGCCGCCTGCCACGTGCCACGGCACAGGGACCTGAAAGACCGCACGCCAAGTGAGGTCCGCCAGTCGTGCGACTCACCTTTGGTTTTGGCCTCCAGCTTCCCTTGTGAGAGTTTGAATTCTGTGATGAGGAATCTGCTTGCCAGCATTGTTTTTCTCTGATTTCGGAGGGGGTCGCAGCTCCCGTGTGACGCAGAAGCCCCTGGACCTTCTGCCTTGCTCACTTGGGCTGTGCCCCCGGCCATTTGCTCTTCCGTGGCCGAGGCCGTAGCCATGGCTGCACCGCTTGCCCGTTGCCCGGATAAGTGGTGCAGGACGTGGCTTTGGTCTTGAGCGCACCTCTTCTGGGCGTGGGCTGTCCTTGGCCCCACTTCCTTCTCCTTTGCTCCACGGGCCCGTCTCCCCGCGTGCCCAGAGCGCCGTGACAGCGTCAGGCCCACGTCGCGGCTGTCCGGCCAGGCTCCGTGCTGGGCCCGCCCTGCTTGGCGTCTCCGTCGTTCCCAGCCCGGAGGCTGGACGGCAGGGCTGCCCGTGTCTGCCGCCAGGTTGCTGGGACACCCCAGAGAGGGCTCCTGTGTGCGACGGCAGTGGGGTGCCGCAGCCCCTCGCCAGTCCTGCTTTCTCCTCTTGCCCTGCTTGGGCAGGGGCCACCACCCTCGTCACCCGACTCCGGGCACCTGCCACTCCTTGCTAGGCCGGCTCTGCCTCTGGGCGCCCCTCCCGGAGACTGGATCCTGCATCAGCCTCACAGTGGCTTTTCCTAGACCGTAGGGCGGATGTCCCGGACCTGCTCCGGAACCCCGTCAGACATGGCGGTGGAGTCGGCGTCTCCGAGGGGCCTTGCCGGGCTCTCTGTTGCGCCATCGCCAGGAGTCTCACTGCTCTGTCCCGGTGTTTGTGTCCGTGCTCTGCTTCAGCTCATCCTGTCTGTCCTCCTGCCGTCGGAACTTGGGTGCTCAGCTGTGCGTGTCCGAGCACTGCCTCGCCGCACCGTGTCTCCGCGTGAAGTAGTTTTGGTATCGATCACTCTCAGGCGTTTTCTAACTTATTTATGATTTCTTGTTTGATCAGTGAGTTATCTCAACACTTTTTATTTTCCAAATGTATGGGGTATTTTAAATTATCTTTTTTTTTTTTTTTTTTTATGAGACGGGGTCTCGCTCTTGCCCAGGCTGGAGTGCGGTGGTGTCCTCGCAGCTCACTGCAGCCTCCAACTCCTGGGCTCAAGCCATCCTCCCGCCTCAGCCTCCCAAAGTGCTGGGATTGCAGGGTGGCCACTTCCCCCTGCCCTGAACTGTCTTTTTGTGGTTGGTTTCTGAGTTGTTTGGTGGTCTGTATACTACCAATGATTTGGAATCGTGGAGACCTGTTTCCTGACCTGGTTTGTGGGCGGGGCTCACGAGTGCTCCACGTGTGTTTGAACCCCGGCGTGGGGCTGCCCCGCCCGCTGTCTGGCTCATCAAGGGCTTCGCAAAACCCCCCCTCCCGGTGCGCGAATCCTCTGTCGCGGGGACTCTGGCCCTGGTGGTTCTTCCCTCAGCGCAGCCGCGCCGGGCTTGCTTTTGCTTAGCGTGTTCCTGCTGTTTTCCTCCTTGAATTTTATTTTCATCTTGTTCACATTCTTATAGTTTAGTTGTGTCTGACGGGCAGCAGACAGAGAACTTTTCATTTACGTCCAGTCCGCTCTGACAGCGGTGCCCGCCTGGGTGACCGATAACGTGTGTGTTCTGTGATCCGATGTCTGAACGTGTTTCTCGTCGGCCTGCGGCTGCGGTGACTGGTTCCCGTCTTCTCCCGTCTGGATTCTTCTGCCGTTTGCTGCGTGGGTCCTGTTTTTACCTCCTCGTAGACGTCACGTGCTTTGTTCCTCGTGTGGTGCGTGGGGCTGAAGGGGGTTAGCAAACCACGTTACGGCTGCCGCGACGTCGTCAGTGGATGCGAGCGCTGCTCCCGCAGCGGAGCGTGTTTCGTCTCTTTGCCGCTCAGCTGCGGCTTGGGTCCCTTCGCCCCTAAGTGAGCAGTGTCGATCGTTCTGTGGTCAGCGTCGTTTAGTCATCCTCCTGCCAGTCTCCTCTTTGTGGCCGCCGTTCCGCCTTCTGCCTCCGCTCTGCCTCCGGGGTCCCCTTTCTTCTCAACAAGTCTCTCTCGCGTCAGTCGTTGGCGGTAAACCCGCTCCGTCTGTGCTGGGCTCTGTGCCGTCCAGTGACACCTGTGGGCCTCTTCTCACGATGCACGGGTGGCCGTGCAGAGGACCACAGGGAGCACAGTCACCTTGGCCCGTGGTGCATGTCCAGAGCCCGCATGTCTGGCGTTCCTTAGTGTGCTACACGGGCTGCTCTGTGGTGACGAGTTCGAAATTGTGCAAGCCTTCCTGTGGCCCCAGCACCAACTGTGTGTGGCTGTCGAGTGTTTCTGCCTCTGCTGTCCGTGTGTGCGCCGGGGCGGACGGTGAGGCCCAGGCCTCGCACGGCCGGTGGGAATATAACATGAGCCACGTGCATAGTCTTTGAATTTATAATAGCTGTGTTAAAGAAGTGAAATAGAAAAGGTGAAACTGGCTTGCTGGTGTGTTTCATTAAAGACCAACATGTCCAAAATATCGTTTCAAGACGTCACAATAGCAGCGTCGTCAACCAGATGCTTTACACTTTCTGCTGTGCCCTGTCCCCGGGTCTGGCCTGTGGGTCCCTTCCATGCTGCGTCCCAGGACCTGACACGTGGGTCCCTTCTGTGCCGCGTCCCCAGGATCTCCCGGGACCTGGCGTGTGCGTCCCTTCTGTGCCGTGCCCGTGGGATCTCCCGGGACCTGGCCTGTGGGGCCACGCACGGCCCGCTTGGTCAGAGCGACCTGCGGCTGTTGCCCTGGGCGGCGCGGCCGTGGGCTGAGCCGTGCACGTTGGCGCTTTCTCGCCACAGGGGGCCGCGTGCCAGCCGCGGAGCACCGGCGGAGGGAGGAGGTCCTGGCCAGGTTCCTGCTCTGGCTGATGGGCGTGTACGTGGTGGAGCTGCTCCGGTCCTTCTTCTACGTCACGGAGACCACGTTCCAGAAGAACAGGCTCTTCTTCTACCGCAAGAGTGTCTGGAGCCAGTTGCAGAGCATTGGCGTCAGGTATCGTGCCCAGACGTCCAGCAGGCGTGTTTCTCCGTGTTCTCGGGAGGGAAGCCCGAGCCAGTCCCTGCTAGTGGGCGCTTCCTAGGCCGTGTGGCCCTGCGCTGGGAGCCGGGACCCCGTCGTAGTCCTGGCCCACGGGGGTCCCGCGCTGGGCCCTGACCGCCTGGAGCCGCGATTCCTTCCCTGGAACAGCAGGGGTTTGGCCGGGGGCCTCTGGGTCCCTGCAGCGAAAGGGGCGGCGCCGGCTGGCACTGCCCGTCGGGGCGCGGGTCAGACCGCTTCACTCACTGCCCGTGGGAACGTCCAGTCTAACGGTCAGGCGAGGACGTCCTGCCCCTTGGCAGCTTGTACTGGAACTATCTGGGATGGGGCGTCGGCCACAGGAAAAAACACCCAAGGAGCCAACTTTAGAAGGTCGACTTGAGCGGCTGCGAGTTGGCCGGTGCTCGGTGTCGGGAGGGCGTGGCGGGCCAGCCGGGTGCGCACCTGTGAGGAGGCAGACGCAGTGGCTGGGAGCCGGGGCCCTGCGGGACACAGACTGGCTCTCGCTGCTTCGTGTCCGGCCCCGCTGACCAGGCGTCAGGACGGCCTTCCCAGGGGGGTCAGGGAGGGCCCAG